CTGGCTGGTCTAAGATCAAACCTGGAGATGGTGGTTTGAAGTTTTTCTTCAAAGAAAGCTTGAAAATGAAATCTCAGTAGGCAAGACAAATAAAAGCAGAGTTGTTCTGGTGGAGGTGGAAATGGGAGGAGGGCTGGAAACCTATCCTTTACCTCCACTCCCATCTTCCCACCTTAGCATCCCCTGACAAAGCTCTGTGGAATACCAGGGGTTCCGCAGCACCTGGTTTGAAAACCACTGTATCAGTGTCTACAAACCATGGGCCCCACAGACCTGTGCTTTGACTTCCCTTTTGGGGTGACGAGTTGGGAATGTGATGCGGGGAGGATGTTTCCCCTTCAACAGGGCCTCTCTTTGAAGCCGCTGTGCAGTGACCCTCTGGGGAAGTGGTAGAGGCGGGGATCCTGCAACTTTAGTCCAGAAGGGATGGCAGAAGTGATGGAGCTGCCTGGGCCAGGAAGACACACCAGGCCCAATGCAGGCCGTAAGGCCATATAGATGAGGGTTCAGGAGTCTGTTTTGGTCCTTTTGAGTTTAAAAAATATACGTATCAGAACAGGCATAGGCCTATGTCCATGAGACCCTTTAAGAGTGTAAGACTGGGACCTAAACCCTTCCTCCTGGATGGATGGAGAACAACCAGTCCCCAGTGACTGGCAGGAGAGAAGCTGCCGCTCTGGACTGCTGACGCCACTGGGGGAATGCATCCGCTGTGGCTCAGCTCTCAGGACAAAAGGCTTAGGTTTTCCCTGGGCCTGAAACCCTCCCAATGTCACTGAGAAGCTGTGGTAGCTCCAGCTGATCCTGCAAGAGGCCTTACACTTTCAAGGGAAGGAACAGGCAATTTCTATTTCTCCTTGCCCTTAGATTTTCTGCAGATGGGTGATTTCAGCTCCCTGAGCCTGGGGGCTGGTGGCTCTCTTTAACCTGGGGTCAGAGCTAAGGCCCCTTGGCCTCTGTGGGGTTCTGACAGATGGGAGATGTGACTCCAGACCTATGAGGGTCCGAGATGTCCGCCTCCACCACTCACTGACGATATCCATGTCTTCCCTCTGTGTCCTGGTTGATGGGACCACTATTTTTGGGCATGATATTCCTGAATCGTGTCTAAATTTCCTGCTCAGCTAGGTCATCAAAGCCAAATTAGCTGTTTCTCATTCTGGTTGACATCTACCTAAGTGAGAAGCAGGGCAAGTGATGAAGACTGGTGGGGAGGGCTTCTCCCGCAGCAAACTTCCTGTGTGACCTTGGGCCATCCCTGCAGTGGCAGGGCCACACCCATGCAGCCATTTTCAACTTAGAGCCCTGACCGCTGACTTTCGTCTCATCTGGGCCTCATAACAATTCCTGCGTCAGGAAGGGAAGGGATTATAATCCCATTTTACAGTTAGGGAAACTGAGCCCCAGAGGTTGAGTAGCTTGCCCAAGTCCCCCAGGTGATTGGTGACAGCCAGGACTGAGAGGTGGCATTGGGGACTTCCAGGACAGAATTCCTTTTACTGCACCACGTAGGAACCAGCTTGTCAGGAACTCTCCCACAAAACCAGCAGCCAGGTGAACCCACTCTAGCAGGGCTGAGCTTTGACGCTGAGGTGCAGCCAAATAACTCAGTCCTTATTTTCGTGGGGACTGAACTCTTCCCCTGGGTGGAATGCTGAGGAGGGCCAGCTGGCCCTCTGCTCAGTGGGTTTTCACCAGGCCATGCTCTTCCTTTCAAGACTGGTGTCCACACGCCACCCACAGGGTGCACTACAAAGTCCCGGTGACGGACGGCTTGGCCAGCGCAGGCCCCAAATGCTTGGTACAGTAACCGCCAGTACTGTGGGCTGGTGCCTGCGGCCTAGTGAGGCTCCGCCACCTCTAGTTTCACTTCAAGGTCTCACCTGGACAAACTGACTCCAGAAGGGAAAGGGGCCCTGCAGAGAAGCACTCACTTGGCCATGTTTGGGGGCTGGGAGGTGGTGCCTGGAGTTGACCAGAAGCTTGGAAACATGACCAGGAAGAAGCTGAAGGAAACACTTTGGTCTGTGTGTCCCTCGAGGCTGCAGCACATGGCTGTGCAGCAGGGCACCTGGCCAAGGGGAAAGGGGTGCCAAAATCCAACCTGTGTGTCACTCACAAAGCTACGCATTCTAGTGTGGGTCTGAATCACCTGGAAAGGGCACCGTCTTCTAACTCACATCAAGGTACAATAGGGACCAGCAGCCACCAGGAGCCCTGAAGGCAATTGCCCTCTATTACCTCCCCCTACAACGTTCCCCTGACTATGGGCTTCCTGAGGATGGGGGCTGGGACTGACCCATCTCTGTGTCTCCCGTACTTGGCATAGAGCTGAGTCATCAGCAAAGGATGGTAGGCTGAATTCAACTACGTTTGGCCATTGCCTTGTACAGTCCTGGCTCAAGGAGAAAAACGAAAAAAAAGATAATACTCTGATCCTTCCCTGCAGCTGGAGAAATTTGCTAAACAACACTGGGCTAAACCCAAAAGGGTGAGTGTGATGTTCAGGCGGAGGCTCGGGAAACCAGCCTGACAAACCTTTTCCATGCATGCGTTAGGGATAGGGGAAGAGGTTTTCAGGAAAGAGGTCATTCCGAACACTAAAGGGTCTTGTGTCAGCCCCAAATGTTTCAGAAGACACTGGGGGGGGGAGGGGTGTATGTTTGCCATGCACTGCTCCAGCATTTCATCAGCTCTGTGCCTGCCCAGATGAGGTGCAGCCTGCCCAGCAAGCTCTAGGAGGGGCTGGATGCCTGGGAGACCGGGGAGTACGACTGCCCCTAGCTAACTTGGTTCTGGTCTGGGGAGGGGTCCCTTAGGTTGAGTGGTCATGAGCCTCAGAAGTCGCACTGCCAGGCTTGTGAAACAGGTGATTTCACCGTGGGAAATAAGTCGCACTGCCTGCCCAGGAGGTGCTGGACTGGAAAGGACTGAGATGCCACTTGCATAAGATTTTTTTGTCTCCCTTTTCAGACAAGTATGGGACAGAGATGGAAGGGAGCAGAAACTGAGGAGAGAGCCCTTGTCCTGCTAATCAATGTATTTGTTTGGGTAAACCTCAGGGTGTCTGCATCCACAGGGGGCAGTGAGGTACTGCAGGCCCTATCACAAGCCCCTCAGCCAAGCCTCAGCAAAGACATGCTCTGCTCCTCCTTGGGCAACTCAGGCTAGCTATGGCCACAGCCTGACATCAATCCCTTCCCAGTCCTGGGCAGGGGGTGGAGTTGAGGGGAGTTGGTGCTCCATAGGGCCCTGCCACCTCTGAGGTCCAATAAATCCACTCTGGAGACAGAGAGACCAGGCAGCAGCTCTGGATCCACCCACCAGACCAGGAGTGCTAATATTCCCAAATTCTTGGTGGCCAGAGCTAGGAAGGCCCATTGTGATCATCTGGTCAAACTCCTTGCTTTCCCAAGTGAGAAACTGAGGCGCAGAGTGGGGAAGGAACTTGCCCAAAGTCACACAGTAAGTTATTCTCAAAGGCCAGGCAAAGAGGATAACTCCTAACACTTTCTACCTCATCTCCCATCTGGCTTCTTGCCCCAGGAATTGCCCTAGGTCTCAATCACGCCAACACCAGCCAATGCGTACTGGGTACCCATGACACTGGGAGCTACTGGAGGTCATCAACTCCCCAAGAAAAGAAGGGGCTTATTTGCTACCCAGCAGCCTCCTTCCCTTTGGGTGAGGATATCTCCATGGATGCTGCCACCTTCTGGGATAGGACCCCCTTTGCGGCATGGTGGCCTCAGGCACACTCTCCCAGTCTGCAGGTTCAGTCCAGCCCTGGAGAATGGCAGGGGGAAGCAGGAGGATACTAGTGGCCTCAGCCCCTGCTAGACCCCCATCCTCACTTCCTACATGACCATGTGAAGTCCACAAGGAAGGGACATAAGGCAGACTCTCCTCTCCCCACCCCCTGCCTCCATCTCCCAGCGGCCCACTTCGGGAACCCTCATCAAGAGCTTCAGCTAACTCTGCTGCGGGCTGGTGCTTGCTGAAGACCCCCTCCCTCCCTCCCTCCGCTTTTCTCTCTGCATATCTCTAGACAGGCCCATGCACTTGAAATACAAGGTAGCTAAGATGTCACATCCTGACAGTACTGAAATATACTTTGTTGAGTCCACACAGCTTGCCTCAGTCTAGGTAACTGCTGGTAAGAAAGTCACTCCAGTTGCTTTTCTCTACTCCTGTGGTCTACAAACTTTCACCAACGTCACTATCAGACACAGAGGGACATCGGGTGGGGAGGAGGATGAAGGCAGAAGGTCTTTGGTGGGTCAGAACTTCAAAAAGGCATTGAGAATCTGTCCACAGGTCTGCCCCTCCCAGCCAGAAGGAGGTGGCCTTCAATGCGGTCATCTTTTAGCTGCCAGAACTTTGTTAACCACCTGGAACCGTGGACATCTTCTCTCGTGTCTTGAGCCCTCATCCCCACCCCTCCAAGCCCTCATGCCCACCACACCGTGTCCTGCATGCCCCATCCTCCCCTGTCTGCTCCCCATCTCAAGTCCAATTCCAAGGCCAGAACCCTGGCAGCTTTTCTGGGAGACAGAATGAAAAGGAGGGGAGTGGAGAGGCAATGGCAGAGATGGGGTGGAGCCGGTGTGCTGTGGTCGTGTTGGCATGGTGATGTGGGGCCAATCCTGAGGTCAGAGGTTCATCACCGTGATCTGGAAGGCCACAGGCCCCCCTGGTAGAAACTGGAAGAACAAAGGGGAAAATAAACCAGAACGGGAAGAAGACGAATAAGCATCCGAGCGCATGAGAGTGGAGCCGGAGCCACGTGGAGGCAGGGCCGGCCCATCTATCTGTTGTTGAGCTGTGGAGAGCCGGTACCGTCCTCCTCTTCCTCCTTGTCATCCTTCATGCCTTTCAGTCTCTGGCGGGCAAAGTCCTCAAATACAATGTCGTCATCACTAGTGGGAGAGACAAGGAAAATGTGGCGTGTTTGCAGGGGCAGGGGCTTATCCAGAGGCCCGGCCAGAGGTGACTCAGAGTGTGGCTCTGGGGCCGGGGAGAGAACCACCTTTTCTGAGGTCTCTGGCCTCGGCGGCTGACCATAAGCAGAAAGGCCTGTCTGGCAGGCACATGTGGATGCCACCTGTGGCAGTAAGGACAGTCACATCAGGACTCAGGCCAGTCATGAAAGGGGCAGAGAGGGGCATGAATTTGACTCTTGTGCCTAAGGGCTAGAAAAGTAACCCGGTTCTTTAGGAGGTGGGGGGAGCAGTGTGGCTCTGTAGCCCAAGGAAGGACTTAAGAGGCCAGGCCACCAGTAGTTGTTTCACAGCATGTTCTGAATCCCCCAAGAATAAGACTGGTAAACCCCACCCCACCACCCAGAAAACTACCCTTACGAAGCATTCCCGTTTCTGGACAGGAAGGAGTAGTTTGGCTTAAAGGAAGAGAAGACCATGGAGAACCTTTCTCCCAGGAAGTGTCAGCTCAGATTCTACCATGGGGGATCCCACACAGGAGAAGGCTGGGGTAGGAGGATGTGAATCTAAATAGGGGAGTAGAGGACCTGTTCGTGAGGAAAGGGGAGGTTTAAGTGGGGTTTCAGGACTAAGGACTGCCTTTAAGAACAGCGAGTTCCCTTCTACCATGAAACATGTCCACTTAGGACCATGCAGGGGTCCATCCAGGTCCCCTGCCCAACAGGGTTCAGCCAGTGCATGCGGCATCCTCATGGGGTGACTTGAGACTCCCACACCCCAGATTTCTCCTGGGGGACAAGGGAAGATTGGCTTTGGAGCTGGAGCAAGAAAACCAGTTGGCCCTGGAGGTGGCTCTCGCAGTCGGCCCAGGTCCTCCCCCTCTGGCCACTGTCCGGTGACTCGATGGCCTTTCACCGCAGGGAAATCCACATCGGTTGGTCCTCAGGAGTCAGAAGCAACAAGATCCCCAGTCCCCTGCCCACCCCACAGCCTGATTCCACTGGTTGGCGTGGGCAGGACAGGAGAGCCGAGCCCAGGGCCATGGACCAGCCCTGTGTGAGCTGAGCAGGCGCTGTGGATGGACGAACAGACTGACGGATGGACGTGCAAGGACGAGGGAGGAAGACAGACCCCACCAAGGCAGGAGGAAGAGGAACAGGCACGGAGGGTCCTTCAAGTCACATGCAGGCAAGCGGGTTGCTGAAGAGGCGAGCAGAGGCAGCTCTCAGCAGACGGGGTTAGACCAGCGGCTCCTCAGGGGTTAATAAGCATATATGCAAATGACCCCTCCACCCCGCCCACCCACGGCCCGCCCTGTCCCTGATGCTGCAGGCAGGGTTCGGCTTACTTTGTGTCAAGTTCTATGAGATTGGTATCTACTGGCGTCTGGTTCTCTGGAACTAAACACAGGGCGGGTGGGCAGAGTGTCCAGGGGTTAGTGAGTGGATGAGCACGGGGCGAGTAGGCGCAGGCCCCCACCCTGGGACAACCAGACTAACATGAGGAGTGCAAAAGAAAAAGGGGAATGGAGAGGGGGGAGGACTCATTCCTGGTACTGAAACACCCCAAAGCATCTGAAAGGCAGGGAGGAGGGCACCAGGAGGGCCCCAATCCCCACTGCAGCCCCAGAAGAACAGAAAATCCTCTAACTTCTGTTTCTTTTGGGAGGTCTCCAACATGACTTACGTTAATTCCTAGCATGTATGACATTTACCAACTCTAAGACAATCTTTTTTTTTTTGAGACAGAGTCTCGCTCTGTTGCCCAGGCTGGAGTGCAGTGGCGCGATCTCGGCTCACTGCAAGCTCTGCCTCTCAGGTTCACGCCATTCTCCTGCCTCAGCCTCTCGAGTAGCGGGGACTACAGGCGCCTGCCACCATGCCCGGCTAATTTTTTTGTATTTTTAGTACAGACGGGGTTTCACTGTGTTAGCCAGGATGGTCTTGATCTCCTGACCTCGTGATCCACCTGCCCTGGCCTCCCAAAGTGCTGGGATTACAGGAGTGAGCCACTGTGCCCAACCAGACAATCTTTTTTATATTTTCCTTCACATTTTAACATCTCTGAACTTGGAGTGTATCTTACCGTCGATGGCACTGCACAGTTTAACCATGGAAGATTTTTCCTAATCATATCTACTATAATGTTGTCTCTCTTCACTGAAAGTCTCAGATTCAGTGAAATATGACCAATCTGCTATCACTTGAAAAACATGACAGGCCGGGCGCGGTGGCTCATGCCTGTACTCCCAGCACTTTGGGAGGTTGAGGCAGGCAGATCACCTGAGGTCAGGAGTTTGAGACCCTCCTGGCCAACATGGTAAAACCCCGTCTCTACTAAAAATACAAAAATCAGCCAGGTGTGGTGGCAGCCGCCTGTAATCTCAGCTACTTGGGAGGCTGAAGCAGGAGAATCTCTTGAGCCTGGGAGGCGGAGGTTGCAGTGAGCTAAGATCCACTCCAGCCTGGGCAACAGAGTGAGACTATCTCAAAACCAAAAAAAAAAAAGAGAAAAACATGACAATAGTGTGTCCAGCAGTCATCTTATCCAAGCAGCCCCTTCCCCTACTTCCAAACGGGATCCAGCCCATGCCTGGGTGCAAGATAGAGGCTCAAAGCATGGTCAGTGAGTTCCCTCCTCCACTCCTGGTCTCCCTCTCCCATGGGGAACAGGAGCCACGCCTCACTGTGTCCTGGTTGGGTCAGAAGCAAATCGAGGTCTGGATCCCACAAAAGATGTGGGGACCTGAGAAAAGGGTGACTGGGCTGAGGGCAAACCGGGGGGGGGGGTAGGTTACAGGGTCACATGGCAGCTGCTGGAGAATCCCTACCCCAGAGACCCACAGATTCTGCTCACCTTCCCGATGCAGGGGTTCCTCTTTGGGCTTGGGGTGCATTAGGGTGAAGATAGTCGGGTCACTCTGTTGCCCAGGCTTGGGAGTCGGATCTTAGCTGCACTGCAACCTCGCGCTCCCAGGGCTCAAGGAGATTCTGCCTGCTTCAGCCTCCAAGCTAGGCTGAGATTACAGGCGGCCTGCACCACACGCGTGGTGATTTTTGTTTATCTTTAGTAGAGAGCGGGGTTTTTACCCATGTTGGCCAGGAAGGGGTCTCAAACTCTGACCTCAGGTGATCTGCTTGCCTCACCCTCCCAAAGTGCTGGGAGTACAGGCATGAGCCACCGCGCCGCGGCCTGTCATGTTTTTTCAAGTGCATAGCAGATTGGTCATATTTGCACTGGGAGATTCTGAGATTTCAGTGAAGAGAGACAACATATAGTAGATATGATTTAGGAAACAAATCTTCATGGTTAAACTGTGCAGTGCATCGACAGAAGATACGCTCGAAGGTTCAGAGATTTAAAATGGTGAAGGAAAATATAAAAGAAGGTGTCTGGTTGGGCACAGTGGTCACTCTCCGTTCGTCTCTGCGGAAGGCTTGGTTGGATCACGAGGTCAGGAGATCAAGGACCATCCGGTGGCTAACACAGTGTGAAGGACCTCCGTTGTACTAAAAAATAACAAAAATTAGCCGGGGCATGGTGGGGCAGGCGCCTGTAGTCCCCGCTACTCGAGAGGTGAGGCAGGGAGAATGGCGTGAACGCGCTGAGAGGGCAGAGCTTTGAGTGAGGGCGAGATTCGCGGCCTGCCACTCCAGGCCTGGGCAACAGGGAGCGAAGACTCGTGGTCTCAAAAAAAAAAAGATCGTCTTGTAGAGTTGGGTAAATGCTCATACATAGCTAGGAATTAACGATCAATCATTTGGAGACCTCCAAAAAGAAACAGCGGAAGTCTAGAGATTTTCCTGTTTCTTCTGGCGGCTGGCAGGTGGGGATTGGGCCCTCCTGGTCTGGCTCCTCCCTGTCCTTTCAGATGCCTTATGGGGTGTTCAGTACCAGGAATGAGTCCTCCCCTCCTCCATTCCCCCTTTTTCTTTTGTGGTTGTCCCAGGGTGGGGCCTGTTGCCTTACTCGCCCCGTTGTCACCACTCACTAACCCCTGGGGTGCAGGGTAGTATTCCAGAGAACCAGACGCCCTAGTAGATACGCGCAATCTCATAGAACTTGGACACAAAGTAAGCCGAACCCTGCCTGCAGATCAACCCTGTC